CCCAAAAGTTGATGATCCAATAGAGGTGACTGAATCCCCCAAAGGTTATGATCCAACAGAGTTGACTGAATCCCCAAAAGTTGATGATCCAATAGTGGTGACTGAATCTCCTCAAATTCCAATTTGGGTTAGTATTTCAGAAAATGAGGATGATTTTGTGCTCCCTTCGTTATCTTACTGGTTCGATAATTATAAACGAAATGAGGCCAAAGGATACGATGAAAGCACGGTAAGTAGCAAGTCCGAGATCGATGCAAAAAAGATAACCAAAGTTCTGGGGAAGCTTTTCGAATCACTTGATTCTGTTGTACAAGCTTTAAACGACTCTGATGTAACTCCATCGGAAAGTTTAGTTGCTCAAATGCTGAAAAGATTCGATAATAACTGGAAATCTGCTTATGGTGTCTTTATTTGGGCTGAATCACACATGGGTTCCAAGTTTTCACCGGCAATGTATGATCTTTTGGTTGATTGTTTGGGGAAATCGAAGAAGTTTGATCTTATGTGGCAAGTAGTGGAACAGATGGTCGTTATTGGAGAGAATTATGTTACAATAAACACTATGGCAAAGGTCATAAGAAGGCTTGGAAAGGCTGGAATGCATGAAGACTCCATAGATGCATTTCGTAGAATTGAGCAATTTGGGGTTAAGCGTGATCTTATGGCGTTGAATGTAATGATCGATTCATTAGCGAAAGAAAAGAACGTTGAACGTGCCAATGAGATATATCTCGAGTTCAAGAATGAAATACCTCCAAACTCTCATACTTTTAATTCGTTGATTCATGGCTGGTCGAAAGCTCGGCAACTCGGAAAAGCACAAACCACTATGGACGATATGAAGGAACGTGGGATTTCTCCTGATGTTATTTCTTATACAACTTTAATCGAAGCCTACTGTCGCGAAAAAGATTTCCGAAAAGTTGATCAGCTTCTTGAGGAAATGCAAGAAAAAGGGTGCCCTCCGAATATAATCACTTACACGATCGTGATGCATGCACTCGGGAAATCAAAAGAAATCGACGAAGCTTTAAAGGTTTACGACAAAATGAAGGCAAGTGGGTGTGTCCTCGATACATCGTTCTACAGTTCTTTAATTTACATCTTATCTAAAGCGGGTCGTTTAAAGGACGCCCGGGAAGTGTTTGATGAAATGCCTGAACAAGGAATCAAACGCAACACCCAAACCTATAACACCATGATCACTAGCGTTTGTAAACACACCCAAGAAGAGGAAGCGCTTAAGCTGCTACACGAAATGGAAACGGAAGGTGTAAAACCCGATTTTGACACGTACGCGCCATTGTTGAAGATGTGTTGCAAATTGAAACGAATGAAGGTTCTTTCTTTCTTGTTGACCCATATGTCGGATAATAACGTGAGCGTGGGTCTCGGGACTTACAGTCTTTTGGTTCGTGGGTTATGCATGAACGGGAAACTAAAACATGCTTGCTCGTTTTTGGAGGATGCAGTGATGAAAGGGTTCATACCGTATGATACGATGTTTACGATGCTAGAAACCGAGCTTGAGAAAGAGGGTATGAGTGAAGAAAAGAAGAGGATTCAAGAACTGAAGCTAATCCAACCAACACCTGCTGAAACTTGAGATTCGAAAATAGGACCGCTCAAAGCGGTTGAACCAAGTTATCCTGTAACAATTACCCTTACTCAATACCAATCTATTAGATGCACCCCTGAGTGGTTTGCATTTGATCGTTCCTTTATATAGGGTATATTTCAAATGCAACCATGTTCATTTGTACGACCAGTGCAACCCAATCAATTGAGATATTTATAGAAATGATGAGAGCTCATTTATTATGATTTGAATATTTATGGAAGATGACTAGAGTTATGTGTCCACTGAAGCTCCCTCGTATGCTTCTCAGATATCACGGAAAATTAAGAACAAGAACATGAACGCGATTCGACCTTTTGGACCTGCAAAAGAGACTTAAAACAACCATTTTCTCAAACTTTTCGACTATCTCGTGGAAGCTTGTCATTGGTCGACGGTATTATCATTTTATAGCCGTTATTTTTGTCTTCCGTTATACCATTTTGAGCACTTTAGTCTTGCAAGTATACCTTTTTAGGTTTTGCTTGAAAATGTAACAGATTTGGATACTGAAAGCAAAAATGAAACGTACGATAGAAAAATATCGTTAACCGTATACACTTGAAATACACAAAATTAAAGTAGATTACATTAGAGGCTCAAACCCATTGTTTTTTAGGTTAAGCTTTCTTTAAACAAACAACACAATACACTTCTACTACAAAGTCAAACCTCCACAAAAAGTCAACCATGCTACAAACACATCTCCAATCTTCCCTGCAAAACCACATACACAAAACACTACAACAAAATCAGTTGTATGAAATGTTCTAATAGACTGCTAGGGTTGAGTTTACATGAGATCAAGGATTTTTCGTGAGATCTGTAACACCAATTTATGTCCATTGATCAACTTCATAAGCTAATGATCTAATGGTCTAAAGTTGCACGGTGGCAATTTTGTGATTACTGAGAAGTCTCGTGGCAATTTTGTGATTATGAATGTTTAGATTGTAGATCTAATCTAAGGGTTGAAAATTGGTCTTACGGGTCTCACAAAAAACCCTTGGTCTCACATGATCCCAAGTCTAGACTGCTTTATAACTTTTATTTTTATAAGATCAAATAATTGCGCATCGTATATAAATGTGTTTGTAAATTATGCTTTTCATCATGTAGTTTAGAATTTGCGATTTACGTCTCTATGGTTTGCAATTCATTGCTATTTTCGTCCTTATAACATAAAATTTATTGTTGTTTTGGTCCCTGTGGTTTAGAATTCTTTGCCTTTTTCGTCCCTTCTACTTTAAGGTAGGAATTATGGTTAAGGATGAAAATAGCAATGAATTGCAGACCATGTGGACAAAAATCGTAATTTTTAACAAACCACGTGACGAAAAGCGTAATTTACTCAATGTGTTATGATAAGATGTTAGAACGTATTTGGGCAACCTAACAAGTTTGTCAAGTAGTGTCATATAAAAAGACTAACAGGAACCACTTGGGCTGTCGTGCACCGATTAAGGCCAACGACTGTAGTGGAAATCTCATCTTCACCTGATCTGAATCCAGCCACGCCAAAGCCCTTACGGACATGGAGGTTCACCTACGATAATTCCATTGTGGTCACCTAGGGGATTAGTCGGTGTGTGTAAGTTGGTCTAGATACCCATGGTTAGTAAAAGAAAAAAACGACTAATCATACGCTTTATTTCAAATATGTCCTAAGAAAACTACTTAAAATGCCCAAAACGTCCTTCGACTTTGTTGTAACATCTTTACATATGACACATAATTGTTTGATCATATAAAGCAGTCTAACAAGACATTTAGATTTTATTTGGTCATAAATCATTTTCTTACCTAACATTTCGATCTCAATATGGAAAAGCATCGAATCGTTCTTCACAATCCTTGTAAACATCCATCGGTCGATCGACACCATTGATGAACCCTCTCCTATTGTATAAAAAAAACTCCCATCAAACCAAAACCAGCTTGGTATATCCCACTGGAGGTGGGTCCGGCAGGTGTAAGATATGTATAGACCTGACCTCTATCTCAAAGAGTAAAGCAGTTGTTTTTCTAAAGGATCCCGGTTTGTATAAAGTAAAATTGATAAATACGAGTCTAATCGGAAGGCGTAGAGATCACTTACATTGGTGCAACTCCCTCCTACTTTCGTGTTCACGATCGGCCCTTTTGGAATCACTCGATCGTCGCCATTTGGACAATGAGAAGCTTTTGTACCGTTACTTCCCTCGGTCAACGAGAAGCCAAAGAGTCGGCAACTGTTTCTAACCGTTGAAACTGGTTCTTCCTGCCGTCCTTTCAAAGGGCTAAAGAAATCTTGATGGATTTGACGGTTTAACGGTTTTAGATTATCAGTGTAATGCGCAGGATAATCGTTAGGACCTTGACTGATTGATTGCGGAAACCGTAAAACCGATGAAGGCGAAGATGATGACGACAATGGATGTAAGAATGTCGACGGGTGAGTCCATAAATTTCCGGAACTCGGTATTCTTTCGCCAAATTGTGTGTTCGACATTATTTCTTGACCTTGCAAGACCCGATTGAATCTTAAAGACTCCCCAAAGCCTACGTTTCTGACATCGTTGATTTCCGAAGAACGGTAAAAACCATAAATTTCTTGACCTTGCAAGACCTTGTGGAATCGCATAGATTCCCCGAAGTCTGAAGTTGTCCGATCTGTAAAAAAAGCGGAAAATATCATCGTCATTCCTCGGTTTTCTTGCAGAATAAAAAGAATCTGATAAAAATATGTTGAATACGGGCCTTTGAGAACGGGAAAATCGGATTTAAGCGAAGGAAAACCGGTCCGTGACCTCTTCGTTAGAGGCGTTACAAAGCTTCCAACTTCTGAAACCAAACCACATCGCTCGATCTCCCACGGAGAAACTCGATTTTGCATCGTAACTTCCACACAATCCCACCTTACCTGAAAATGGAAACGTAAACGACATACGGATCTAACAGAAATACTCCCTCTGTCCCAAAATAAAGTTCCACGATAAAAATGGCACACAGTTTTAAAAATATGTAATTATTACACTTTTTAACTAACTAAATGACAATTTTAACCTTAATAACAGGAGTAATGAATTTCTCCATCTTATAAATTAAGGGTAGAATTGGAACTTCGAAAGTGGTGACTTATTTTGCGGAAAGCTAAAATGGAAATGTAAACACTTATTTGGAGACGGGGTGAGTAAATGACAACTTTAACCTTGATAACAGAGGGTTTAATGAATTTCTTCTTCTCACAATTAAGGGTAGAATTGTATCAAAAGAACTTCATACCATGAGGCACCTCCATTTCGATCCAGGCCACCGTACCGGATTGATATCGTTGATCCCGGTTATGATTCCCGTAGACCTGCTACAAGACGCGATAAATGAGTTGCATATTGTGCAAAGATCTTACAGTTTTAGAAATCACTGTATTTGCCGAACCTTCTATCTCCTGCATCTTCTGTTTCGAACCGCATTTTGAACCTCATTCCGGGCGAGAACGAATTAGCAAGGCTCTTGAGAAACCGATTGTATGGCACAATGAACTCCGATGAGCCACCCCTAGAATTTGGATTGAAGTTAGAGGTCATAAAGGTAATTTTGCTAAATATCAAGAACGTATAATGCCCACGTTTGAACGGCAAAATCAAAAGCGAAACTTAGATGCCTTGGATTGTAGTAAACACTGAATACGCTTCTCCGAGAGATGGAATTGACCACGGTGGCAAAATCGTTCAATTGCTGACTACAAAATGCCGGTAAACTAGAGGCAACCTTCACTTGGGAAGCTCTTCGGATCCCCAACCGTAGCACTCCATCGTCACCCCTAAAAACATGCAAAACCATAAGAACACGGTCGCAAAATGACCAATATACCCTCACGTTTTCTGGCTCTCGTGTACCTGAGAAAAAGAACTGCATCTCCACACACGAGCTTCTTCTTGTTTACAAACGCGCTCCAACCGGTAGTAAGCAAATGCCTCCGAGGCTGTCCTGCTCGATGAAAGTTGCAACGTTTAACCAAATGTCTTAAATACCCTTGACAAAATACAGATGCCCTTTCGATGATGACAATTGACAAAAGGCAAAATCGTAAATTTCATGAATACCTCGGTAGATATGTCGGAATTTCCACTCGGTCCCGTGAAGATCTTTAGCCACAAGCTCTTGCGAAGGCCTTTGTTGTTTATAATCCTGCGGAAAAACATAAAGCACACAACGAATTACAACAAAAACTAACACTTTGGTCGCCGTCTCGAGTCTCCTCGGGGTCACAGAGACTGTTATCTTCAAGGCCCCATATGATTAGTCGAGTTGTGTACCAATACATATATATATATACACACACACAAACATTAGGCCTCAAGAAGGCGATTGTGATGGAAGTACCAGGGGCGGAAAGCAGTCTTCGGCAGCCCTTCGTGGAACGGAAAATCCTCCATGCGTGCTAGTATCGGAGGCGGTTAGCGACTTGCAGAACATATGCAGCGTCGTGGACTTCTCCGCCACTCCATTATCGTCTTCTACATATTCTACTCCACGTCCACCTTTACGCCATTTCTGCTCCAGCTGTTTGATGTCACCCGAGCAAAAATTCAGCAAATGAAACATCGTCCGCGTTAAAAATAGGATGCAAACCGTAAATAAACAAATGCAGTAAAAATGCACTATGTTAAGACCGAAAACAATTTCACTAAAACAGTCTCTCTACCTAAGATATCGACAATGTCTCGTACATTCTACCCCTGACCCTATTTCAACCCTACTTCTGTGTGGGATATATTGGACTCGTTTGGTTTGGTATATTTACAGGTCCCGTAATGCAAGAGAAACAAGGATATAATCAAATAAAACCAAACAAACCCGATAAATCCCACTCGAAAGTAGGATCTCGGAGGGTGGGATGTATGCAGACCTAACCTAACGTCAACCATCAAGATCCCCCGGGGGGGTTGTGCACGAATCAATGTAAACAGGTAATCGGAACATAGAATAACGATTCAATGGTGTGTACAAGATTCAAAGGTAGACACGAGGATGTGATTATCAATCCGTGACTCCGTTAAGTTGATTTAATGCGGGGAAAAAGACCGACACTCACAAACCGAAAATCGTTATCGAATCTCCATTTTCATTCCTTCTTGAATCAAAGAAAGAGACCCCCAAATCATATCTTAATTTCTATAGCAAAAACTCCATGAATACAAATTAAAGATCTTCCAAATTAGAATCATATTCAATAATCATGTATCAATAATCAAGCCCAATAATCAAATCCTCAAATTGGAAACTGAAATCCATCTTGTTTCCTGTTCATAATCCTATAACTTCCATGATCAAGATATAAATGGAGGAGGTATCAATCATCATTAAAATGCAAACCAACCTGAGGATCTGGAATCAATGAAACTTGGGCATAAACATCATCAGTTCCTGATTCAGCCTAATTCATCAAATGTTTCAGAAATCAATCAACTGATAAAACCCAAATCCACAAATTTCAGAAAAAAGTAATCAAACCAGAGAAGAGAGAAAGAACCCACATGAAGTTTGACGTCAGAAACGCGGCAAAACACGTGAGGAGGAAGATTAAAGTCGCCGGAAGTTAAACAATCGCCGGCGAATTGTAGTTGTTCAAGGTGGCCTTGAGGGCAGTACACGACGGCGTTCCCTTTTTTCGGCAAAGATATCAAAGGTCCTGCACAAGCATGCCATAACTCCAAACAACACACCACCGGAGTAGAACCAGAAACCACCGGTTTAGAAGGAGACGACGACAACAAATCCGCCGTACCGGAACCTGAACCTGAACCATTCGAAGACGACGACGGCGACGACTGAGAATCAGCACCTAACGACGTCGATAACTCGTCGTTAACAGTGTTGAGATCAATTAAACCACACATCGTCTGAAAAACAAAAAATTCACCAAACAGAAACCCCTTTTTTTCTCTCAATCCCACAAAAGAATTCACAATTCATGAACAAAAAACAGAAAATCAGAAGGGAAAGTTTGTTAAATACCCTCTTTTTTTCTGTTTCAGTTTCTCTCTCTAAAAGCAATAGTTTTATTTGCATAATTACATCAAATCACATCTTTTGATTGAATTTGGTCTTTAATCCTCTGTGATTAAACGCAGAGAGAGAAAGACTGCAAAAGTTGCAGGTGCTGCCATGAGCAGCAGCGCTGCCACTGGGGAGAGTACGAAGAGAGAGAGAGAGAGAGAAAAGGGGGGTTGTGCCGGTGACCGCCCTGTAATTCCGGGAGGGTGTCAATTCTGTCTCCTTCCCATTCAAACAAATCTCTTTCGTCTCGTGTTCCTTATTTACCATACACACAAAACCATCAGTTAAGGGGTAAGCGTCTATCGGATGTCATTTATTTTATCTTGTTTGTATACTGAAGACGAAAATCTTATCTGGTAAGAGGTATAGAAACACCGAAAATCTTACGCGATAAGTAAGGAAAATGACTCTTACTCAATACACGTTACTGGGTGTCAGTTACAGGGCTGAACCCAGTGTAGCGCATACGGTGACATGGGTGACTGTTTCATTCATCCGTTGTAGTATAAAAATTTATATGGTCGTGAAAAGTGTGTCATCGTATCAATTTGTTTTGTGTCACAGTATATCTTTTGAAACTACAATACAGATACAAGTTTCTCTTGGTGGAATTGGTTTGCAAAGCTTTTCTTTCATCCTAAACCTGAGTTCAAATCCCGTTAATGTCATCTTTTTAGTTGTTAGTTTTAGAACTTGAATACATGAATGAACTAAACACCAGAACAATGTTGATTTTGTAAAAATATTCACATATTTGTTTCTTATAGTCAAATAGTGTCACCACTTGGAGAGAAAAAAATAGGTCCGTTTCTGGTCACTTATCTTATCGGATGGACACAGTAAGGACCAAAAAAAATTCCCAGTAGAAGGCATAGAAAGACCAAGAATCATAACTGCTAAAGGAAAAGCTCCTACTCGATAAGTGTTTATCAGGTAAAAGACATTACCAACAATCCATTTTGATGAATGACAATATTATTCGATTAGTTAATGAAGATGGTGACTCTTACCGGTAAACGTTTACCCCTTAACTGTTTGATAAACGACTCCAAGAATAAAGTTTTTGAAACAGTATTTGAGGAGGTTCTTACAAAAGTTTCTACTGTAATATTAAAATAAATCACCGTCATAACTCTTTAACAAAAATCCAACTTCTTAAAGTATCTCCAACAACCATATCTTGGTTTAGTCATACTCGAAAACCCTACGTCTTCAAGGTTCTAACCTTGGTTTACTCGCACTCGAAAACCCCACTTCTTCAACGTTCCGTATGCTTGAAACAATCACCGACGCTTAAACCCTTGTTAGCAGATTCTCAATAATTATATTGTTTTTTATTATGTTGGATTCATATGCTTTTAATCATTATCGTTTGTTGACAACCATAAATATGCTGTTATTTATGGGTTCTCATTTGTTGTTGCAAACGACGCGTTTTCGTAGAAAAATGAAGTACGTTGAATAGTCATACGTCTTTGTGTTTGTGAAAATAAGAATTGATAGTACGAGAACTACTCCTCCTAGTCATTGGAAGTTAAAAAGAGCTTTCACCATCTATGTCGGATACTGATATTTATAATTACTAATTCGAGTTAATTTGTACGTCTATTCACAGAAAAAGATACCAATAAACTTAATATTTATTCGGGTCGAATATAGACAACATTTATCGTCAATATGCTTAAACTTTTATATATCGTATCGGTTTACAAAAAACCGTCTTCTTGACTCCGTTCATTAAAAATCGAGCATTTTGCTTTATCAATTAACGTATCAGTTTATTGTTTTACACACAGTCAGAAACTTAGAAAAATGTTATATATTTTCATAGAATATTTTACAAAATAAAAAGAAAATTATTTATCATTTTATAAATAAATTATTTTAAATAAAATTATTTATAATGTATGAACACTTTTTATTCACGTCTATTGTTTTTGAAAGTTTTTTACCCATGAACATTTGTTAATGTTATTTGTAAAAAAAAGCAAATTGCATGAAAAGATAACGTACTTTGACTTTATTTTTATTTTGGGTAACATATTTTTAAAACTTCCATTTTGGTACCTAAGATGTAAAGTTTTAAACATTTAAGTATCCGGGTAACAGATTGAAGCATTAACCGGTTATCATGCTAATGTGGCGAGTGATGTGGTATCCAACTCAGTATTATTTACTAAACATGGTTAGTGACATGAATTTTTTTAAATCTAAAATTAGTCGTCAACTGATTACTCAGGTACTTAAATGTTTAAAATTTTACATCTTAGGTACCAAAATGAAAGTTTTAAAAGTACATTACCAAAAATATGAATCAAGTTAAAATACTTTACTTTTTCATGCAATTTGTCCTAAAATAAAATATGACTCGTTAATATTTATACATTTGGACAAAAAGTTGATTACCGGTAATTTCAATCAGTTCCACGTAAAATCGACTCTAAAGACATCAATGTGATAGAATGTTTTTTGGTTCACTCAGTAACTGAGGCTAGAGGGGTAGAATCGAACCTTGGATTTTTCCTTGTATTTGGACAAAGTTGCGTCGTCCATTTACCAACTTACCAATATTTACATTACATGTTCTTTTAAATCATCTTACATTATTATCTAACTTATCAGTTAATTTTTAACAAACATGGATGTTTATCAGCCAACAGTTAACTTATCAGTTAATTTATTGAATATCTAAAAGTCAAAAATGAAGAAACATGTGCAAGTCACGTGGGTAGGAGGGGTGGGGTCGTTTGAATAGGTGACCAAAAAGGAAAAAGAAGTTAAAAATGGGTCATTGTCAATAGTAAAGGGACCAATAGGTGTCTTGTAAGACTAGGGGTAGGAGGTACTAGGGGGTAGGGGGTACGTCAACCCGGACAAAACGGGTTGCACCTTAATATCCGGTCCACATTTACTCCGGTTCACTCTTTTATCCACATCATTTTCTATTTCTCTTTTCACATAAATAAATTGTTTTTTAAATGTATAATTAAATTAATTTTCAATGAATTTTGTTTGTATTAATTATTGAGAAGGTTTTTATTTGGATAACATGGAAGGAGTGTATTTTAAATTGGGAGTGGTAGGTATGGAAAAACTTGTCTTTCTGTATAAAATTTTATCTTAAAAGCTTATTGAATAAGTCATTTTTTATATCATTAATCTATTACTAAACAGTCATGTATAACTGATTGGATAAGATGCGAGTCTAATTAAGTTAATTAATCTGTTAATTAAAATCCCAAACTTTGAAATCGACCAGATAAATCCTGGAACTTACTAAAATTGAATCGGGAATTTTCTTAAGTTTTTATTTAGGCAAATTTAAAATCGTTCGAATTGTGCATGAATGTTATGTTAAAACTTCGTTTAAATGATGTGGTAGAAAGCAACGTGCAACAAACAAACTGTGGCACCGTTTGAGGTACTTCTGTAAGTCCTTGAAATGGGATGATGACGTAGGTGATATTTCTAATTTTGAGTGATTACGTCTCTAAACATTTTTTTTGATTTACCATTTCTTTTTCCATGCATCAACAAATCAATAAGAGAATCAATTTACTTTCATTTTAGAAGTATAAGGTTTTATTTGATGATTTTTTTAATTAACCTGGATATTCAACCTGCTATGCGAGCCAACTAATCCCAGAAAAACCACCTGTTTTGTGGGAAGCCTGAAGTTACTGCACTGGAACCTCTGTGGCCACAAGGGGATTTTTATTCCTTCTTGGATTTGAATCTGATAACTCCATGTACCTTTTGACCTTTGGAGTCCAAACTCAAACCAATCAAGTATCATCTTTATGGTTAAAATGTCTATGAACTTAAGCATTTAAGGTATGAAAGTTTAAGAATCCATTTGATTTAAAAAAATATATAATTTATTTATTAAAAAATTTGAAGGATTTAATAACATAAAAATTGATAATTTCTTGGGGGGGTTTTTAAAATTTTCCCCTCAAAAATACAATTTTTACAAAACCATAATTTCAAAAAAAAATTTTGTGTTACTATAAATTGTCAATAACAACTAAATATTAAGTTTTTTATTATGAAAACAAAATACTTAAAAGTATTAAAAATGTGGGTAAAAGCCTTTTAGTATTGATGGTGAAAATCAAAATATTAACCATAAGAGTGGTGTCTGATTGGTTTGAAATTGGCTCCAAAGGTCAAAAGTACCAGGAGGTCACAGGTTTAAATCCAAGGAGAAATAAAAATCCCCTTGTGGCCACGGAGGTTCAAATGCGGTGACTCTGGGCTATCTGTAAAGCAGATGGTTGCCCTGGGATTAGTCAGCTCGCATAGCAGGTTGGATATCCATGTTATTAAAAAAAATCAAAATATTTCGATTATCGCGGTTTTAAAAAACATTGCATAAATATATATTTGTAACAAAATATGGAAAGGCACAAAAAGAATCGAAGCCTAGGTCTAGGCCATGCCTTAACGTTTGACCAGGCCTAATTTTTTTAGAAAGACTCAAGTATGTGCTTATTTTTACATCCAAACCCGAGGTTTTTGCTTACTGAAAACGGTTTTGAAAAGTCTGATCTATGACTCACAACAATCAGTTGTGTACATCTCTAATTGAATATTTGATTCACCCAAATACCTACAAGTGTAATATGTGCGTCTTTGGTAAAGTTACCCTTGCGGGAAACATACGATTTACAAGGAAAGGTTGATTTGAGAAGTGGTAAGTATTTTAAGAAGTAAAGAAGTGATCTTTTAGCCTTTCATCTGGTCAACATTTGTGGCTTTGACTGTGAAGCACCAGATAATTCATCGTATGAGTGTGTGAAAGATAGAGGGTAGTTTCGTAACTCTTACAAATAGGCAGCAAACGGATTCACACGAGTTCATATGTGAATCAGTTGGTTAGTTCATAAATCAGTTAATTAGTTCATATGTGAATCATAAGGGTGCATATGTTAATCAATTAATTAGTTCATATGTGAATCATAAGGGTGCATATGTTAATCAATTAATNCATATGTGAATCATAAGGGTGCATATGTTAATCAATTAATTAGTTCATATGTGAATCATAAGGGTGCATATGTTAATCAATTAATTAGTTCATATATGAATCATAAGGGTGCATATGTGAATCACATGAGTTTATATGTGAATCAGTAAAAATAGTTCATACGTGAATTAGAAGGGTTCACATATGAACTCG